TGTATAAGGAGGGGCTGGGGGTGGGAGGTGAGTGTCTCATCTGTGCAGCAAGACTTGGTGGCAATAGCTGGCACCGACTGTTCTGCAATGCCAAGTCCATGGTGGATAGGGACTCAGAGAACGTTTCCTTTTCTATGGCCTCTTGAAAGCTGAAGGTTCACTATCAGAAAATGCCCCGCCGCTCTCCCTGGACAGTTCTGGTCTACACATTCCAGAAGATATTGTCTCGGTGACCCACCTCCCAGTCCCAAGCCAGGAAGACCTCCAGTCCCCTCCCCCACCCCTGCTTAGACGGATGCGCTGCCGCTGATCAAACCAGCTACCCCGAGGTACCTCCAGGTACCTCACGAGCAAACACCTCCCCGACTGCTGGATTAAGCCATACCTCTACTTCTCCCCTCCCCACCCCCGCATTAAAAGGCCTCCGAAGCACTGAGGAACGGTTTCTCTTTATAAAGCCAAAAGAAGGAGGGCGATAAAGATCAGGCATTTAAATTGACCATCTGGAAGATTATATCTCTTCATCGAGGGGCTTTCTTTCAAAGCACTGAATTAAGGGCCACAGCTACTTTGCACCGGCTCTCAAAGGCCGGACACCTTTTCATTCGGCTTTGGAGTGGGCTGGGCTAGGTGACCTGGCGCCATCAAAGGCCCGAGGGAAGTTCGTGGGGCGACACACGTCTAATGACAAGTAATTGACCTATTCGAGGCCGCGCATTACCAGCAGAACCGGGAAGCATTAATTATTTAAAAACGATTAGCCTGGCCGTGTGTCCTGCAGGCGTTTCATCTTGTTCAGGAAAGATAACCAGCTACGCGAGCTAGGGACCGGGCTTAGAGGGCGACGGGAGCGCTCCCTAGCCGGCCTCTGGGGCAATGGACAAAGGCGCAAAGACTTGGGCACCAGGGAAGGAGTGGAGGGGGCCCAGGGTCTCCACAGGGGCGTGGTGGAGGCGCCCACATAATTGACCTTGCCAATTATCGGATATGATTCTGCCCATTTGGGTTCCGGATCTTGGGACTCTGGCGCAGATAGGAAGAGCTTTCCAGTTGGAGTGGCGGGCAATATCGATGGGCTGGGTACTAGCGCGTCTCACTGCCTGGCGAAATAACAACAGAGCCGGCATAGACTTCTCACGAGGCCCAATACCCAACAGTTCAACGGAAAACCCCAGGGGGGATGCAGATTTCAGGGGAGTACCTGGTAGACCCCGGGGAAAGACACCTTTTCTGTACCCTGTCCTCGAAACCCGAGGGTCTCATATTTTCAACTGGCAGCATCGGAACTAGTTTTCTGAGCCTGCTCCTTCCCGCAAAAATGAGGTCGGTTCTGCTCGAGCCTCCAAACTCACGCCCTCAGGCACCGCGGAGCGCCCCTGCAGGGCCGCGAGCGGGCAGAGTGGAGTGATAAATGGCCCTGATGCTGGTTTCTGCCTTTTCTCTCCCAGACCCGACTCTTAACCCCGATGCTCCCAAACGTGCCTGCAGCCAAGTGCACCTGTGCTTAAAGGCCACCAAACGCTTATTGTCGCCAGAACGAAAAGTTCACTCGCTTCTCGGAGAGGCACTGCCTCTCCGCTGATCTCGTGGGCCGCCTACCCCAGCCGCCGCCCGGGTCCAATGGTTGCGGGGGAAAATGCCTAGGCTGGACTCGAACCCATGCGCACTGGGTAGGGCGTCGCCGCTCTCGGGCCTCTGCCTCTGCAACCAACTGCTACCCGCATGCCAGTTCCCGCTGACCTCCATCCCTGATTCTGAGACCAAAGGCGTCCCCCCATCCCACCTCCACACTGTCCTTGGGAAACGGACGGCCCTCGGATCGAATCCCCCAGCCCGGAGGGGCTGCAGGGGCCGCCAGTGGTTTTCTGAAGCTTCGGAGCCCCACCAAGTTGTGCTCAGAGCCCAGATTTATTGCGAGTTTGTAACTCTTCGACCCCTCATCCCCTCACACTGTACATTCTTAGAAATACCCCGCAAAAAAGGATACCTTCCAAACCCCCAAGTCTTCACTGATTTAGCTTCTCACTCCCTCCTTCGCCACTCTAACCCCCGCCCCCCGGCCTCGGAGCCCTTGGAAGGGAAGGCGCGCGGACACGGGTGGGCCGCAGACGCCGCGGAGGGGCCCCGGGCGCGGCCCCTGAACGGGCGCGCTCCCTACCTGCGGTGTTCCGCTGGCAGGCGGCGAAGCGTCCAGCGCGCGGAGGGAGGCGGCCGACTGCTCCCAGCCCAGGCATCCATCCCCGCATTTATTTGAGCTCAAACCCAGCGACTGTTGACTTTAGCACACAAAGCAAAGATTTCACTGCCCGCTAGTTTAAAAATGAATATTTTACCTAGATATCGATCAGCGTTATAAAATTCAGTTAAGTACAATGGGATCCTGGAAAAAAAAAGAATTATAAAGGAGGGGGGAGGCAATATAATATCTGTGCAAATTTGCTGAAGTGTGACGTGGCATGGAAAGTTTACCCTCCTGGAATTCGGATCTAGAATTTTTTTTTTCGGTTGTTTACTGACTTTGTTTATTCACAGATCACGGTTGCTTAAACTGGCGCGCGGACGGCGTGGGGAAAAGGAAGAAAAAAAAAATGAGAGAGAGGAAAAAAAAGAAACGCTGCACCCACAATACTTAGGGTTGGGGAAAGCGGGCGGGGGGTGATCTGCAAGTTAGCAAGCTTGGAGCTCGGGCTGGGGGAGGGGGCGGTGGCCGGAGGGTGGAGGGGTGTGTAAAAGACACAAGAAGCGCAGAAACCTCCGAAAGCGCCCACTCCCGACATCCTTTTTATGTATTCGGACAGAACTATATCTTATCGGCCCGGATCAGTGGAGGGGGGCGCGCTTAAGTAGTTTAAAACTACCCTCGCACAATAGGCATGCGATACGAAACATAGCAGGTTAGGGCAGCGCTTTCAGCCTCCATTGTCCCGCACTCGGCCCCCGGCCCTGCCTCTCGGCTTCTTCGCCACAGGAGCCTTTTATGTGGTAATGAAACACATTTCAGGCCGGGCTCACGACGTGTGTGTCCTTGCCAGGAGAGAGACAGCTCTGATAACTGGATGCGGCCTCCGGATTCCCCCATCCCCGCCCCAGTTTCTCTTCCTTGTGTTACTCGGGACAATGTAGTGAGTTAAAAAAGGATTTAGAGGTGGAGGGGGTGGCGGAGGCGAGGGCAAACACCCTCAAGCGCGTGGGAAGGCCAGGGCTTGAGGGGGCAGGGATCCCACGAGGTAGCAGAGGGCTCACGGAGAGACGGTCTCCAGGATTGAGGCTCAGCTGGAACACTCCAGGTTTGGATGGTCGAGAAAACCAAAGATTAGCCCCGATAACAGGAGCCTGGGCTTAGAAATTTAGGCAAAAATAGTGCTGGCCTCGGAGGCCTGCGGAAAGTTCTTACCCACCGCAAGCTAGCTGTGCGCAGGATGGCCCCAAGTCTGGGAGGCCCGCGACAACTCTGACTCCTGACTTCCCCCGGCCAGCTTTCAGGCCCTCAGGTGCCCCGTAGAAAGCCAAAGCCGGCCCCCTTTGCGTACCCTGGCCTGGCTGCACCTCCGGCGTTTCCACTGTGGTTGGCTGCCGATTTAGGGTGGCTAGGCCTTCTGTGGGGAGAGACAGCACGATTTTAAGAATTTATTCCGGGTTTCTTTATACGTTTGGATTTTCCTTTGAGGCTTACAAAATACCCCTCATTCCCTTGGCCCCCAATCCTGGCTTGCCAACCCAGCCAGGTTATCAGGACGCCGCTCAAGGGCGTCGGCGTTTGCGGGGGGCGGGGGGGGGCGGGACGGGGAGGAGAAGTAAATCTGCAGACTCTGGGATCTCTCCACTGGCTACGGTTACTTGGCAAGCTGCGCAAGATACCCCCTTACCTCCACCGCACCCCAAATATACCTTATTTTTTAAAGGAGATTTGGAACATCACCCTGAGCAATCTTCTTCTAACCAATTCCAGGAGAAAGTCTTCTCTTTCTCCAGACCGGCTGTCCCAGGGATGGTCCTAGACACCTCAGTACTCCCGGGCCGCATCTAGGTCTCCCAAGGTTTTTCAGAGCACCTAAGTGAAGGAGGAGGCTGGGATAGGGTCACAGAGTCAGAGGCCCGAGGCTGTAAGACCCAAGCGGAATTCAAATTCCACAGGAGGGTAAAGAGGTTCCACAGTCATTAATAAAAAGGCAAAAGTGCTGCACCAGGAATTTGCAAATTCAATCTGGGCTCCCTAACTGGAAGGGAGGCTAAAATGGGAAATATTGCAAAACATGTAAAATCCAGGCTTCTCCCCAGATAAGTCTACCCTAGGGATCAAGAGATGCCAAGGACATTGCACCTTCAAAAGGCCTGGGCGGAAAAATAAGATATGTGGTTTGCTTCCAGCTTGAAAGATAAACCTGCATCAAACCATGGAATGGTTATCTGAGATCTCTATTTCACTGTGTGTAAAGACAAACTCAAAAAGTAACCATAAACAATATTGAGTTCGATTTAATGATGCACTTGCTCAAGTGTTAGGGGAGAAGTGTATTGATGTCTGAAATTTACTTTGAAATGCCCTTAAAATATAAGATAAATTGACCAATGGAAATATATAGATGGACAGATATGCAATATAATAAGTACAGTGAAATGATAATTGTAGGGTCTGGGAAATGGGTACATGTGTGTTTTCTGTAAAACCTGTTCAATTTAAGTATGTCTGAAAATTTAAATAAAAAAAGCACACCCCACCACCCAAAAATAAAACCTGCAACTAGCCAGGATTTCCTTCCCTCCCTCCTCTTTTAAATAATTTTCAGACTTGTTTATTTTTTAAGTCAGGCAAAGGAAAAAAAAATCTTGACAATTCAAGGAATAAAACCGGCAATAACACTTTAATATAGATTTGTGGAACTCTGGCCCTTGCAGCCAGAAAACATTTATAAGCCATAAATAAAGCACGCAGAAACCATAAATTAATCAGACCCAAGACCCGGATTTCACTGTGTCAAGAATGGGAATGCATTTTTTTCTTTTTCTTGGTCACTTACAACAGACCTTTACATCATTTTCCCTTCTTTTTTACAATAGTACAACTCTCTGGTTCTCTGTTAAAACTACATGGTTTTACACTGAGTCACAAAAGTTTGTGAAACTTTTTATATATAAAGTAAGACTTCCCTGCAACCACAGCAATGGAGAACAACAACAAAAAATCAGAATTCCCAGATGCTTCAAGAAGCAGGCGTCTACACAGTAGTGGAAACTGGGGGCTTTTTTCTCTTTTTTCCTTTTTTACTGTTAATCTTTCCCACCCCCATTTCTCTCCTTATATAGAATGATACATATCAGTGTGGCCCATTTGTTTGGGAGGGAAGAGCTATAAAGAATGAGGGGAAACTACTGTCGTGGGGATGGGGGTGTAATGGTTTTCTTCTCCCTTGTATCTCTCCAACACCCTTACTTCAAAGTCTCCACCTCACTTCCTCTGTCTTTTGTCCTTGTCTGGGCTAGCCGGGTTGCAGCCATCTTAAGAGGAGTTCATAATGGGCCGGGAGTATACCCCCTGGTAGTAGGAGCCGTCCGCGGCCAGGGGCGAGGCGTCCAGGCCTGCTTTGTTCGTGATCGGGCCCATGGCCAGGCTTCCCGGCATGGGGGAACCGTAGCCAGGATAGTGCATCACCTGTTCGTAGGCCTTGAGGTCCATTTTGTGAGGCTGGTGGTGGTGGTGGCTGTGGTGGTGCTGCTGCTCCGAGGACATAAGGTTGTTGATGGAAAAGGGGTGGTTGAAGGCGTAGTGGTGCTCCGGCTTAAGGTGGGCCTCGGGCGGCAGGCCTGGGTGATGGGGGGGGCCCAGTAGGTGGGCCGCGGCCTGTTGCTGCTGCCCGGGTGAGGGTGCCGGCTCCGGGGGACTTAGGGCTGCGGCTGGCGTCCCTTTCAGCTCCCCAAGGCCCCCTCGCTTGTGCTCCTGGCACGGAGAGGCGTTCGAATGGGGTGACTCAGTACCCGCCGTTGTCTCAGAGGCCGGCCCAGAGGCCTCCCCGAGCTGACCCTGCGAGGCCTGAGCCCCAGCAATCGCCTTCTTTCCACTGCCCGTGGCGCCCACGGTTTCTTTCAGGGCCAGCTGCTTCTCGCACTTGAAGCGCTTCTGGCGGCGCAAATAGCAGCCGTTCTCGAACATGTTGCCGGAGTCGGGGTGCAGGGTCCAGAAGGAGCCCTTGCCGGGCTTATCAGGCGAGCGGGGCACCTTGAGGAAACAGTCATTGAAGGAGAGCGAGTGGCGGATAGAGTTCTGCCAGCGCTGCTGGTTCTGCCGATAGAAGGGGAAGAGGTCCATGATCCACTGGTAGATCTCGCTCAGCGTTAGCATCTTGTTGGGGCTCTGCTGTATGGCCATGGTGATGAGTGAGATGTATGAATACGGCGGCTTGGCGTGCGTGTAGCTGCGCCGGTACGTCTTGGGGTCGCGCGCGCGGCTCAGGCCCGCCTGCCCGTACATGGGGCTCATAGAGTTCATGTTGGCATAGGAGGCCAAGCCGCCCATGGCCCCGGCCGCTTGACCCCCGAGGGGGCTCAGGCTCGGACTCAGGTGCGGCCCCATGCCTGCCACGCCGGCCGCCCCGGCCGAGCCTCCCATGCTCGCCATGGCGCCCGCCCCGGGGGACATGCCGGCCAGAGACGGGCTCATGCCCGCTCCCACATACGATGACATATTCATGGAGCCGGCGCCCATATTACCCGAGCCGCTGCCCATGGCGGCCGCCGACATGCTCATGTACGTGTTCATGCCGTTCATCCCCAGGCCGGCGTTCATGTTGCTCACCGAGGAGTAGCCCTGCGGACAGAGCCCGGGGACGGAGGCGCACAGAGTTAGCACAGCGGTTTGAATGCGCTCTGATTTCCCAGCCACCCAGCCACCCAGCCACCCAGCCACCCAGGCCCCTGTCTCCGGGAAGGCCTTTCCTCGCCCGGCCCTCCGCCCCCGACACCGGGACCATTTCACCCAGAGTGCGCCGTGATCGCCCTTGAAGAGGTGACGAGCTGGCTACTGCTCTGTGCGTGTGACTGGTTCCTAGCCCTTCTGTGGCTGGCTCTGATTCTAAAACAAGGGTCCCCTGGAGCACCCTCAAGCCAGGCACCCTAAATGCACCTGTACACCTCAGAGTCAACCCAACTCTCCGGCCAGTATACCGAGTCGGCGCTGCGGCCCCAGACGCCACCTCGATCTTAGCGAGCAACTTGTGGGACCCCGCTAGGGAGCCCCGGGAGGCCTCAAGAGAAGACTGTCTCAGGGTCTTCTCTGTTCAGTTTTCCTTCCGGGACCCCAGCCTTGGCCCCAGGAAAACCGAAACTCTGTGCCTGCTCCGAGTCCGTGGCCAGCCGGAGACACTGAATGGAGGCGTAGGGAGGGGACCGCGAACTGAACTACACGCGGCTGGGTTTTGCAGCCACAAACTTTCTCTTTGTCCCCTAGTCTTTGACTCTTTGCCTCTACCTCAGCCCCCAGCTCCTGCCCACCTTTTCCTCTCCAGCTCCCCACCCCCTCGCCGCCGACCTCCCACCCCTCCCCAGCCGCGCGCTGCCAAACATAACTCTGTTAGGATAGTGCGTGGCTCGGCCACGAAGAGGATTTGGAGGCGCCGCAAGTCAATATTTGATCACAAAGTTAATATTATCTCAAGGCTAACAGTGTGTCGTATAAAAAAGAGACCCATTTGAGTCCAAGGAGGGTGAAAAAGGCGGCTGCCCAGACCGGCTGGGGGTTGGGGGCGGGTGCCGGCAAGGAAAGCAGTCCCGATGTTGGGAAAAGAGTGGACGCCGCCACCCAACATCCCCCCGGAAAAGGCGAGTGCCTACCTCTGGCTCGGCATAGTAGCTGCTCCAGTCAGACGGCTCGTGCCCTTCCATCTTCACCGCTCCCAGCATACTGGAAGCCGAGTGCATGGCAGTTTAAAATTTAACAGCCACAACAAACGACCAGCAATCCCCCCCCCCCCCCCCCTCTTAAAAAAAAAAAAAGTCAACTAAGGCACCGTCTCTCCTCTTCTCTCGCGCTCGCGCTCGCTCGCTCTCTCTCTCTCTCTCTCTCTCTCTCTCCCCGCTTCACTCCCTCTCCCTAGGCTGGCCGGAGGCGGTAGTTGGAAGTGGGCGGAAGGGGTGAGTCGCGGGAGGAGGGGACCAAGGATGGGGGGGTAGCCCAGACCGGAGTCCAGGTGCCCCCAGCGCCTGTGGCCCGCTGCCGCCGCGCTCACGGGCTGCCGGGTGGAGGCCGAGGTTGGCAGTGCTGAGCTGCTGGGAGACCGCGGGAGGCGCGCGGCGCGGGGGTGGGTGGGGGAGGGGGTGGAGAGAAGGAGGAGGAAGAGGAGGAGGTGTGGACCGCGGAGCAGACAAGTGCCGCAGTGACGTGGGCGGCCGGTGATATAGCGCGGCGTGCGGGCGCGGGCCTCCAATCCCCAAACCCCGGGCAGCCCATTTGAATAATCAGCTCACACCTAGGTGAGAGGAAGCAGCGGCCGGCGCCCCGCACCTGCCCTTCGGCTCCTGCTGCCCGCCGCGCCCGCATGCGGTGCAGGGATCCGCAATCCCAGCGAGTGGGTGCGCAGGCTACCCGGTACGCCCCTCTTTCCTTCAGTGTCCACAGGGAGCACCCATGGAAAGAGGGCCCTGGGAGGAAGCCACCCCGGGAGCAGCCCAGGGCTCTGAACCCCTTCCTGTCCCGTAGCGCCGGGCGCCTGGTGCGCCTGTCCGAGGGCGCGTTCCCTCTGCAGAGCCTTATAAAAGCCTCAATTATTTATCCCGGCTTCTTCACTCTCAGTGCTCAACCCTGTCAAAACAACGACAGTGACAGAGCCAATTTGCAAAGCTCTGTCGTATTTAGAAAAATTATGTACACACCTTTAACTCGCCCGCTGCTGCTCCTGAGAGGCCCCTCCCTGTTACAGTTAAGACACGGAGCGGCTCCAGAAAGCGCGGGGCACGCCTGGTCCGGCCGCCTTGGCTTTTTGCTATCTCGGAGCCTGGCCTCCTGCTACCCACAGCGGGGCGACCGGCGGGGAGGAGCGCTGTCCCGGCGCCAGGCTCAGGGCTTACGCGGCCCCGCCAGCTGCAACCGACGATTGAGAGACTGCAATTTGTCTCTGACATTCAGGACGGCGTGTTTCAAGGTTACTTTTCAGTCACGACCGAGGTGCCCACAGCATTTCGTAACTAAAACAAACAGGGCAGGAGGTGGGGGGAGGGTGAGGCGGGAGGAGAGAGGAATAAAGGAATCAATATCGGGCACATGAAATCACTTCAGGAGGGTCTCTCTTCTCTGCTTCCCTGAGGGGGCTGTTTTCATAAGAATTAGAAACTTCAGCAACCATATGCTTCTTTTTATTTTTGTTCCAGCTTCTGGGTTCAAATTATCTGTCCTGAGCCAGCCCTAAGACCCCAGTGAGCCTAGATTGAGGGGCCGCGGATTGTATTATAGCTGTTTGGATGTGGACACCCTCTCTAGGTTCTAAAAACCCAGCTCGACTATGAGGATCCAGACTTGCTGCCTACATTTAAGAGATCGAGAAAAACTAGGAAATCGTGGGCACCTGTCCCACCTCTCCAGAGTTGTGCGTAATGGTGGCCGAAGACAGGCGAGGTGTCAGGCAGGGAGTTGGGCATTGGGAACAGAAGTACTGGGTGTGGTTCAGGCTAGAAGAAAAGCCAAGAAGAGCAGTGGATGCAGGGGACTCCCACCTCTTATTTCTACCTCAGGTCTCTCGGGCCCTGCATCGCTTTGAACCAAAGATGCAGCTGCTGGCATTGCCCTCTGCGCTGAAATGGTTCGACCAATTCATACTGAGAGTGTTCATGAACCCGCTAAGCAAGTGCCAAGGCAGGATCCCCAAAGCCAAGATCTGCGATGCCCCAAGACCTGTGTACCACCGAGGGCTCCCAAGAGGGGCAAACCGACCCCGTGCATCCGGGAAGCGTGTCGTGGGGAGTGTGCACAGGGGAGCCAAATGGACCAGATCATCAGCATCTATCGCAAGGTCCCGAAGGCTTGGGAAAGAGGGGTGAACACTGGCGCTCAAGAGTGGAGTTGCCTGTTTTCAAAGCTTTCTGTGCAAGCCTAGGACAGAAAGGCACACACGTCTGCCGCCGCCGCCGCCGCCACCACCACCACCACCAAAGCCCTTTCTCCTCCCCACGGGGTGTTTCTTATATTCAGTAGAAAAGAGATGCCAAACAAATAGACAAACTGGACGAAAAAACGACAGACAGCTTCCTGGTGTGTATGGAATGAAAACTCAAAAGAATATTCTGGCTTGTGAATGTGTGTATGTGAATGTCCACTCCCTCTTCTCTTTTAGCTCCTGGTCGAAATATGGTTCTAGAAATTATTCCTTGAGCTGGAGGAAGGGACACTACCTTCCTAAGGAGCGGACCTTGCAAGTTCCCCTATTCTCGGTAGCCAGCATCTGCCGGCACCCGGGAGCACTAATCTGCAGCTTCCGAAGTGACCGGGCGCCCCCTGTCGACCACGCGGCCCCGGGGACCGACTCGAGCCCTCTTTTACCCCTGCGTTCTTCACGCCGCAACCCAGGAGATCCGGCACCTTCTCTCCGCCTCTCCGAGACTCTCTGAAAACGCCTACGAGTGGTTGGAATTTCTTTGGAGTCCCCCGAAGTTCTCCGTAAACTCAAACCGACCTCCCCTCCCGCCACTGGAGGCACCTAGGGCTCGGGTAGGGTTGGGCTACGTGCGACACAGCCAGGAGTCCTGGACTCTGGAGAGTAGGGGGAAACCCGGGACCAGGGGCTGTGAAGGAAGCAGGGACGTTCACCCAGCTTGAGGTTCGCTTTCCTTCTCCAGCGGGGACGTCTTCGGAGGCGCTACCTCCCCTACACACTCCCGGTCCTACCCGGCGGCTTCGGTTTCTAAAGGTTTATTCAGAGCGTCTGGCAAGACAGCCTCAGGCTGGAATGCTGTAAATTGCTCCGGGAACTTCTCTCCAGGAAAAAGTTCGCGCATAACTCGGGCTGAAAACAGATATTTCCCCTAATTCCCCTTTAGTTTAAACCCACCTAGTACTAAGATTCACAAAGCTTTCCTTGGCCCATGCCCTCCTCTTCCTTTTCGTTAGGTGCTACCTCTGTTCCATATAAAGCCGTCTTATAATCGACAACTGAGCTTGGGGTTAGCACGTTGTTTTTATTCTGGATGCTACCCCAGTGAATATGATTTGGGCTCAAACCTGGGCCTCCTTTACTCTTCCTGGGAAGAAGATGCTAAGATCGCGCATCCCCTAGCATAACTTCCTCCCAGAGCCCTCTGTCATCTGAAACTAGTCTGGGGAAAGCGACATTGATAAACAGAACTCAACTTCACTAAGCGATAACCCGTCAAATACCAAAAGTAGGGGAAGCCTCATTCTGCTGATCAATTCCTGTAGCCCTTCAGAGAATACATATCCAGGACAAGGTTTGCTTTAAGGCATAATCGGGCAGGTCTAAGGTGAAATTAAGATAGAGGAGACAGGTGATTTGGCAAAATCTTGTGAAAATATGCATTTCGCTTTCAAATATGCGTTTAGGTTGGCAGAAATCAAAGGCCCACACCTCCCTATTCACAACTTGTAATTTGCAGGGTGCATCCCAAGTCTTAATAAAGAAAAGGCATATAGCTGTGTCAACATTTCACTTTCTCTGTGTGGGTTGTTATTTCTGAGATTCCATTTGAAAAATCAGACTATTAAAAGTAGTCTATTTGGCACTCAGCATACCTTCAGATACTCTTTTGCTGGCTTTCATAGTTCTTGGATGGCCAAAACACAAGTTGTTTATGGAGAGCACAATTGAAAAGGTAAGCTAAGAGTATATTCTCAAAAGAGATTTATGGGAAAGATTGCGGGAAAGATTCAGCATGTCCCATTCTTCTGCAAAACTCCGGGAAGTGCTGACAAAAGTGGGGGGTGGGGGGGGGGGGGGGAACAAGACACAACATTGTAAGTTTAATACACGGTGCACTTGCATACAATCTACCTCTCCTGGTCAAGATTCACAGAAAAAAAGATGGGAAATGAGTAATAATAAATAATGATAAAGTAAAATAAATACAATGTTAATAACCCCAATTGTGTTTGGGTGGTAGAATTATATCTTCAATCTACATTTTTTTTCCTGCAGTATAGTGGTATCATTTTGTATCATTATTATTTTATTATTACACTTTTTATTATTTTATGGTGAAATATGTAATAAGAATATTAGATCCAGTGTCATAGAAACTTTAGCAAAATAACTTGTACAGATATTCAATCAGTTCTCACACTTAAAGGAGATCAGCGAAGCCATCATTCAACAGACGAAGGGTTTGACTTCTGAAAAACAAATTAGCTTTTTTTTCTTACCTGTGTTGGAAGGTGGACTGTACTCTTTCTTGAGCTGAGGGACGACAGGAAGTGATATTCATACCAACCACAGATGGTGATTTCCTGACACCTAACATGGTACAGGAGAAAAAGACTCTGTCCTCAGGATACTGTTAGGAATAATTTAGCACTCAGATCTTTCTCCGTGCACATAGAATTGGAGAGCTATTTGGAAGGCTGAGTGTAGTTATGGATTGTTCATCTTTTATGGGCTTTCTCATGGTTGAGTTGACTCCACTCCCATCTGTGTGGGTCTGTGGGGAGGCCAGTTCTCTGCCCACTCAGGTCCAAGTTTTGACAGATATTTCTGGTATATACTTGGCATCCTGTCTGCCATTCTTGAGTTTTTAAGCACATTTCTGGTATGTGGGACTATTATAGAAGGTAATTAAAGTAATTGAAAGAGATAAAAATAAAGAAAAAGCAACTTTTAGTAGCAATAATAACATGTCAATGGGAGTGAGAATAAACTGCCCTTTGAGGGATGCCTAAATTAGATGCATCTGCATTTGTGACCCTTCGAGCTATTTCATACATTTGGATATTATTCTTGGAGGAA